GACAACAGAGTGAGAATTGACTGTGCAATTGGCGGGGAGTGGCGGCTGGTGGAATGGGCAGAGAAGGGCAAAGGGGAAAAAATTGAGACAACTGTAATAGAATAAACATGATTTTTAAAAAAATTTAATTTGAATTGAATTGCGATGTTTTCCAAAATCTGAATCTTGAATTAGAGAGAACTAGAGATAAGGTGGCAAAGCTCAGTAGTTGAAGGCTTTATTTTCTTGTTCTTACAGGAAAAAAAAAACCCTACAGGTTTCTCACAGACAACTATGAAGCTGATAGTACACTAATGTTAATTCAAATCTTATTCAGTTTCTGATGATACTGTCTTTAAGCTGATTTTTGAGATAATGCTATGTATAGGCTTAGTTTACAGATGTGATTATTGGTAAAAATTAATACAATAATATAATAATTGGGTTATTATTGTGGTTCTTCCCTGGACTGGTGAATAACATCTGCTGAAGTTGTCTTATATACAGAAGCAACTCTGAAACCGAGTTGTATGACCTAGCCAACAAATGATGTTTTAGCTATATTTAATACGTAAAGAGAAATTTTATATATAAGTGATTTTGTATTACATTATGAATTATAACTTTAGCTTCTCTCTCTCTTTTTAGGAGAGCTCAGGTGATCATTAGGCATTTAGTTTTCAGAGGTGGATTCCACAAGAAAAGTTTGAAGCTGGAAGTATGACACTGACATATTTGCTAGCGATAACATGCTGGGAACTTACCTATGTGATGTGACACTGGAAGGCAGTCTGTTAGTGTTTAAATTGATGCTCTTTGGGGCTTTTAATTCTTCATAAATTCGATTGCCATGCTTAATTATGGAAATGACTTGGGGGAGAGGTTGCATAGCCACTTCATTTATTTCATTTTCATGTAATTCTTCTTCTAGTTATGTTACAACATTTACTTGAAATAATGCAGCTTCATGCTGAGTTTGCTTCAATTAAGTCATATTTTATTTGCTAATGATTTTACAAGTTGACAATGACCTTGACGTTGGTATTGTCAATACTTCTTGACATAAAGAAAGTATGATTTAGAGTCAGGAGTACCTCAATTTATTTTTCATTTTCTGTCTGTATGTTTAAATTAAATTTTAGATTGAACTTTTACCTGAGTATTGCTGAGGTTAATGACTTAAATGCTTGTTCATTTGCATGGTTTAAACAGAACAAATTTTAGCATATGCATAGGAAAAGGATTTTGCTAAGTCTTGAATGCTGTGTGTGTATGCATAATGCTTCCTTCTACAGGATTACCATAAGAATTGTTAACAGTTGAACCACAAAATCACAATACTGTGATTTAACTTGAAGAAAGCTTCTTGGGCATAATTTTACTGAAGGTTCTGAAACACTATCTTAAAAGAATTAATATAAAACCTTAATATGTATTTTTAGGCTATAAAAATCTGATGTAAAAGACGATTTAACAAAATGCTATGTTTTAAAATATGGTTTTTAAATCTATAGGCTACAGTAAATAAATATATTAGATATGCTTCTCCCTGAAATATATAAAATATCTAATATACCTAACATATCTATATTATATTAGAGTTCTACACTCGTGTACTCCACTAGCGATTAGGCCAAAAGTCTGCACAATTATGAAATTCTGCTTCTTTTCTAAGTAAATAAAATACAATATAAATGAGTAATTTTGCTTTTTCTGCCATTAAAACTGTACATGTACTTTAAAATCCATGACTGTATTAGGTAATTGTATTTGCAAGATGGGCTAGAACACTTACTTTAACAAAAAAATGTATTGTGTGGTTCAACATTTTTTTCCTGAGGCTCTACAGAGTGCAGCAGTGTTGGGCTTAGCACTGTCCCAACAGATCAGGCTGCTTTTCAGCTACACTAGTGGATGCCATGGTTTCTTCCAGTGCTTCCCTACTATTATCTGCTGCTCTGCTGGGTGTTATATAGCGTTTGTCTCTTCATTACAGACCCAAAGCCTTTGGATGATCTGTCTTATTTATACTCTATATGTTGTAGAGATTGATGGGATAGCTCTTTCTGTTTTTATTAATAGCTCTGTTTTTTCTAGCACTGACAGGGGTCTAGCCTGAGGATCATATTATCCACTAGACAACCTACTTATAATAGTAATAGTAATGCCACTACTATTAATAGTGCTACTAACACGTTACCACTACTGATAGTGCTTTATAGTGTGGTAGCTTCTTTGTGTGTTAAAGCTAAACGTTCAAAGTGAAGGGGGAAAATACCTTTCTGCTCTTTGTGTTACAATTCATTGGAAGAGATTTTCATATCAATAATCTAAGCACATTGAAACCACTTACAGTGCTGGAAATATTGCTAGTGGAAATAAGGATTAATTCTTTTTATTTATGGAACAAGTTTCCCTAGGCTTCATTAGATTATGGTATAAAGGGAGTTACAGTTATGTTAATAACTCAAATATTTGTATGTTGTCTCCTCTGATTGATATAGAGGACCTCTAGCCTTCTGCAAAGTCCCCCTTTCCAGGTGTTTCTAGAAGTCCTCAGGGGCTGTCTCAAATTTGCTCCTGAACAAGTCTGTTTCCACTGAGACAGCTACTGCTCCACCAGATACATCAGTCTCTTGCCAGATGGTGCTCTCTGCTGGGTATTTCCACTGAAGTACTTGATCACAACTGAAGCTGTGTGTTGAGTTGGGGGCAGTTGGAGGGATAATGCTCTTCTTTCTTTGTGTTATTCTCTATTAGGGTGGTCCATAAATAGCGCTGATGTTTACCTGTGTTTTTATGAGACTGGTCTTTTACATTTTTATCATAGCCCTATTGTACTCTATAAGATACAGGCATAAAACCATTGGGGGCTGTCTGTTAGGAGGCAAGTTTATTCAATAGAAAATACTCAGTATTTAGCATTGCCACTCTTGACACTTAAGATTTCCTTACTGAGTGATGTTTATCCTGATTAGCTGCTTCCCATATAATTAGTTTTCACATTCACCTTCTGGTTGCTTTGCTCTCTTTATTCACCGGACATTCCTATATGTCTGAATCTTACTTGGATATAGCTGACAACTCCCTGTTTCTCTCAGCTCAAACATCCTTGACCACACTAAGCAAGGGACAAGCAAGGGGTTTTAAAATCAAATCAGGAGCACCCTTTAGCAATACCCGTAATTCCATTTCTCTTTGGGATTGCATATATGAAAAAAGAATAAAAAAATTTCATTTCACTTCATGCAAATCACAGTCCTGTCAAAGACTGTATTGGTCTCTGTTGAATTCTTTAAGAGCAGGAGGGTGTTGAAGAGAAAGATTAGTTTTGTTGTGTTTGCATTTTATAATATCTGAGAGCTAGTTGTTAGTGGTACATTCTACGAAGTAAAAGGTGTTTTCACATAGCAAGGACTTTTTAGTGCTGTTTCAGCTTTAGTTTGGATTATATTGTGGCATCCCAAAATTTTCTGGAATGATGCCTTCCTACCTAGAGAGTCTGTCTTTGTTAGGGGCTAATGGCAGTGCTCCCAATTTATTTGCAACTGTCCATGCCAGGAATAGAGTGGGTGCTAGCATTCTCTTTCCTGACATCATGTAATGGTGCTGGTGCAAATCTCCAAGGGTATGGTAGTTTGGAGAATTGCTCCCTACTCACTTCCCAAAAGTCCATCCTTATTTCCAGTGTTTGTCTTTCTGGGGATATTAACAGGGTTCAGCTGAGGTTCTTTCCATAGGCAGTGATTTTTTTTTTTCTGATTCTAGTTTCTATATTTTCCAGAAATTCCTCAAAATTTAAAAATGTGAAGAATACCTTCTCTTAGTAGTTAGCACTGATAGTTTGTATATATTTTATATACTTCTTTTGAAATTTTGGTGGGAGTGGTGCAGATACAGGTTTAAATAACCACTGAAAACTGGAATTATTTTTTTATCACAAATATTGCTACTTATTTTATTATTAATTACAATGGTAGTAGAGATTGGACCCACTAGTCTAGAATATTTAATAATTACCAGGAACAACCAATATACTTTTATGCAGTTAAACTATAAGGTTAAACTATGGAAATTTAATTTAATATCATATATATTGATTCTAATAATTCAAGCTAATTTTAAAATATATTTTTATAAATGTGAATTAAAAATAAGTTAAATAGACTGAAGATCACCATTTACTATCAGTTAAAAAATTGAGTTTTTAAAATATTCTTAAATGATTGATTTCGAAGGCATTAGGTCAACAGAAAAGAATTCTCGTAAAAGAAGCTACTGTTCTTGTATTATACTTGATTATCTTATTAGTTTTTATTGAAACCAGGTGCTTTAACTTCTCTAAAGTGAACTTTTTAATGAATAGGTCATGCTTAATTTTAATATCTATTTATAGTGGATGTAAAGGAAAGATGATTATTGTTTTCTTATGTCGCAAATAATTTCTTTGGCATTAAAAGACTGATCTTGACCTTAAGCATTAATAATAAAATGAAATGGGGGTGGTGTTTATTTTATTGTCATAAAGTTTTATTTCAAAATTTTACATGGATATGTTATCATTTTAAATATGAGGAAATTAGAAGTTATTTAATATCCGTTGGTGATGTTTGAATTTTAATTTAATTTCTTGCAATTAATATAATTTCTATTAAGGTCATTTTTAAATAGCCTTTCTCATTCCCTAAATCATATAGTTCTGGCCCACCTCCTTTTTTTTTAAATGACAAGGAACTAATTTTCTTTGCTCTTAAGGCTTTAAGTTGCTGAATGTACTGCTAAGAACAAAGCTCTTCTTGTTGGTTGAGGACATGCTAAAATGAGACGCACTTCTCTAGGAACTTTGGGTGACAGAGGTGTGGGATGGGCATAGCAGCAATAACTTACCTTGAGGTCATGATTTACCAATGAAACCCCTTTGGCTTAGGTTACCCTTGCTTTAGCTTTAGATTTAAATAAAGTTAAAAATGATTTCATGACTTACTTGAACTATATCTCATCTTCACTCTTTTTAAAAATAGGATTTTTCCAGTGCAACTTTAAAATACAAGGGAATACACTTTGGCAACTCTTTAGGAAGACTAGACTTACATATAAAGTCAGGCCCTGGTCCTGGACAGTATGATATAGTCCAGTAAGTAAAAAAAAAAAATTGTATACCTTCAACGTAGTTTTTGACTATAAAGTATTCTAATAATTTAGACTAGTCTATGCTGACATAAAGGAAAAATCAGTATAAAAATTTTAGAATAACCCATATGAAAACTATTGCTTTTTGTGAGCCAGATCCTGTGCTACCCTGCTTTACATGTATTACCTCATTTAATCTTCACAAGTCTCTGTAGTTACTATTGTTATACCTATTTTATTAGTGAGAAATGAAAGTGTCAAAAAGAATATATAGCATGTACAAGATTATGCTGCTCTTAAGTGGCTGAGCTAGACTTTAACCAGGGCTTGTTTGATTATATAGCCCATGTATCTAAGTGCTAAAATATACTGTCTTTAATTATATTGTAAAACAATCAAAAGAGCAGAGAAAATATTTAAAAAGTTAACTCATTTTGTCCCTGGCTTTGGTGTTTATTCTTTTGACTACATGATAGATTTAGAAGGTATTCTCAGTGTGGGTAAGAGCCATAACAATAAGTTGGAGGTAATATTAATGAAATTTAACTAGGAAATACATTTCTGGTAAAATAACTGTCTTTATTTTCTTCTACTTTTATAGTAAGGCTTTAGACAAAGGTCCATGGAAGACAAAATTGTGTAACAAATACACCCTGTTGTCCTCAGAATCTACCATTCATTTTCATCATTGATTTTTTAACAGGGTTCATGTTATCTGCCTTATTCCTTTTCTATTATAGGAGTTTTCTCACAAGAAGTCCTTCAGTGATTACCTACCCAATTAATTTAGTAGACAGACCCAGATACATCTATATACCAGTGGTGGATATAACTTAGACTCTTGTTGGATACTCCAGCTGTTTATTCATTGAACAAACATTATTTTAATTCTTGCTATGTGCTAGTGCTAAACTCAGTAACTGATAATAAAAAAAATAGAACATGGTTCTTTTTGGGAATTTATACTCTATTTTCTTTTTCACTCTCTTAATATGGGATATAAACTTTGTGTTTTTATTCTTTCAGTAGTTACACTAGAAATTTAATACATGTATTTAACCTAATGAAGTCTAAACTTAGTATCTTTGTCATTCTTGCAAAGAAAACTAAGTCTATCAAATGCTTTAACTCTGCTCATTCCCATGGCATATGCTTCTATTATTTAGTATTATAATCTTATCCTCATTTCCTTCCAATTTGGTTGGTTCGCTTATCTAAGCATCTGTTTATCTGCCTGCATGCCTGCCACTTTAATTGAGGTTTAACTGACATAAAGCAAAATTAACCTTTCTTTAAGGTATGTAGTTCTATGATGATTGGTTTCCATCCATTCCACTACACTTCTAAGTATCAAGTATAACCAGGACTCTATCTGGTCATGTTGCTCTAATTTTATGTGGTAGTATTTAAAAAAATTTTTTGTTGTATTTTTTTCATTACTATTTAGTCCCCTTTTACATGACCCCCACAATCACCACGCTGTGGTCCATGTCCATGAGTCCTTTCTCCTTTTTGTTCAATCCCTCCACCCTCTAAACTACCCCCTCCACTAGCTGTCATCTGCTCTTCATCTATGAGTCTGTCCCCATTTTCCTTGTTAGTTCAGTTTGTTAATCTAATGAGATTCCACATATGAGTGAAATCATATGGTGTTTGTGTTTCTCTGACTGGCTCATTTCACTTAACACAATGTTCTGCAGGTCCATCCATACTGTCCCAAAAGGTTCAACTTCTGTTTTACAGCCAGGTAGTATTTGATTGTGTAAATGTCCTATAGTTGTTTTATCCACTTGTCCACTGATGAACACTTGGGTAGTATTTTTACAACAGCTTTTATATCTCCAATCTTGTCCCACTCCCATTTTTTAATGTTACTTTTTCTTCGAACTATGTTATTTCTCCTGTTTCTTCTCTTCCTCTATTTGTATTTTTACTTTTGCTTCTGGGAATGTATCCATACTGATTCCATTCCAGACTTCAGTTATTACCATTTCCAAAATTGTCTTTTTGTTTGGATGCCTTCACTGTATCTTTTATATGAAATTGTCTTGGTTTCTTCTGCCAGCCGAAATTTTCTACCTTCTTTTAACCTTTGTTTTATGGGGTCAAATCAGAATTATTTTGGGAGATTTGAAGCAGTATAAAGTAGAGATGCTTGGTCATTGTAAATGGAAAGATGAGCACATAGGTCTCTGTTTAGGAAAGACAGACCTAAATAATATGTGACTCTTCTGATGCCTCAAATAAAAATTTGTTATCTGTAAAACTAATTGAGGTTTTGAAAACAAGTTAATTTATTGGGTTTTTGGTAAAAAAATCAGTGAAGTCAGCATTTAACTGTGAATTGATATGTTAAGTGCATATTTAAATTATAACAATGTCAAAGGAAATAGTTATACTTATGTAACCTAAACATTTGTTTCACATTTTTCTATTATCTGCTTTTTAATCTCCATATGTTCTGGTTAATTCATGGGAGACGTTTCATATGAAGTTTTTAAAAAATTCTGTTTAATAAACAATAAAATAGTAGTATAGTAGTAGCATAGCTTATGATATAATACTTGTAATAATAATAGCTAACAGTTATTGTGTACTTAATATGGGTATGTAAGGCATTAAACACTTCATGTGTATTGCCTACTTTGATCATTACAACCTTGAGAACTGTTTATTACTATTTCCAATTAGGTGGGGAGTCTAATCTGATCACTCAGAGAAGTTAGGTGATTTGTTTAAGGTCACACAGCTAGTAGATAGTGATGCTTGGATTCACATCAGGTTTTCTGACTCCAAAGCTTGGGCTATTATTCACTGTTTACCCAGTTTCTTATACTTTTCTCAGGTTGTGTAAATTTCAATGATAATAAGCTTCTCTTTCATTTTCAAAGTTCTTTATGTTCCTTTCTTGATTGTTTTATGATATAGATAGCATAGGATTATTTTTCCTATTATTTTAGTACTAATTGAAATACTAAAGGATTTGAAATTTTAAAGACTTTTAAAATCAGAAGTAGAATACACAGGAAACTGTTAGGTAGCTTTTTATTTAAACTCATGACATAAATCCCATATCCTATTTTCTTTTGGGTGTCATTATTATAATAGGTTTATTATAATACTTTGAATTGGAAAATGCAGAGCTACTCACCAAAATAAATAAATATATTTTACAAAATTTAGAACATAGTGGCCTAACACACTCAGGTAATCCTATTATTGCATACTTTTTAAGCAGAAAATGTTGATGTAAAAATATTCTGTTGGCTTATATAAATATTTATATATTGGAAATTGAGAACTCCTCAATTTATGTCTTAATTTTTTAAAGGAAAAAGACACCACATTATGAAAATATTAACATCAAGAAAGATCGACAGAACAATTATTGCTCACATCTCCCACGATTTTATGAAATAATACAATTGCAGGAGGAAAAAAAGGTACGTTGAAATGTAGCTATTTCATCTACTTTCTAAATCTTAACATCATTGAATCTTATTCTGACAAGATTAAAGTCCTCAGGTCTACTGTAGCTAGTTCTCATTCAATGAATATTGTAGATGAATCTGTACTTAAAATATTCATCAAATCATCACTGTCTCTGCTTGAACACCTCTTGTGATAAAGAACTCTACAACCCTAGGTTGTACAATTTACTTTTTTACCTGCCCACTACCTACTTATTCTTTCTCTCCCTATGACTTTTCAATATCCTTTTATCTGTTCTAATAAGGATTAATGTTCTAAATACCCTTGACTATTCTCATTATTTAACTTCCTAATAACTTATTTTCCATTGAAGTTATCAAGCAGTCTTTTTTAGTTTGTGAATCTTTCTTTTTAAAAAGCATATGATACTAGAACTAAACTGAACTTCTTAGTGTAGTCTGATTTGTATCTATTAAGATGTTCATTTTCCTTTTTCTGGATCATGTATATTTATTGATATAAAAACCTAACATTCCATTAAATATATATTTTTTGTAGCTATGTTTCAGTTTTACTCATTTGGAACTTGTAGGCAAATAAAACCTTGAATTTTTTTTCCCTTTAGTAAATTATTATATTTAAACTTAAAAATGTGAAGATTATAGGATAACATTTTAAAAGTGTGATCCATTTAGAGTAAAGACACATGATGCTCAGTTGAAAAATTAATAACTATTTTATCAAGAATTTTGTCTGCATTTGATTTCCTTGCTCCTCCTTTGAATATTAATCAGCAATGAAAAACATTATTTACAGAAATACTATAACAACAGCAGAATAATATAGTATAATTGTTTTCATAGAATAACATTTACAAATCTCATACAGGATATCAAGTGTTAATTTAGAATCAGGAGATATACTGGTCTGTAGTTTTAAAAAAAATTTATTGATTGATTTTGAGAGAGAGAGAGAGAAAGAAAAAGGGGGGGAGAGAGAAACATTGATTTGTTGTTCTGCTTATTTATGCATTCACTGGTTGATCTTTGTATGTGCCTTGACCAGGAATCAAACCTACAACCTTGGCATATTGGGACAATGCTCTAACCAATTGAGCTACCCAGCCAAACCTGGTCTATAGTTTTCTTTACTTGCAATGTTACTGTATGGTTTTTTAACAGTGGGGAATTGTAACCCACCCCATCATTCTTCTTTTTTCTTTTTAAATTTTATTTATTAGAGAGATGGGGAAGAGAAGGAGAGAGGGAAAGAAACAGCAATGTGAGAAAGAAACATCAATAAGTTGCCTCTTGTACATGCCCCAAACAAGGACCAAACCCACAATCTAGGCATGTGTCCTGACTGGGGATTGAACTGGTGACCTTCTGCTTTGTGGGATGATGTCCAACCAATTGAACCACACCAGTCAGGGCCACCCCAGCATTCTTTTGACATTATTTCTGTAAATACTGACTGACTAATATGTAGTTTGTAGAGAAAGAGCGTGTTTGTATAAGAATCCTAGGAACTAACCTCAAAGGATAACAACTCTGACGTTCAGGCATTTCCAACTCTGGGAGGCTTGCTGATCTCCAAACATGAAACCAAGATGATGTAAAACCAGAATGACGAAAACTATGCTGATGCACACCAGACCATTGCTTGATCAATTTCAAGGTCCTTATCAGATTGGACTGTGCTCGTCTGCATGCAGAGAACTTTTCAACCCCTTCTCCTTTATCTCTTTGTTCTGTTTTCCCTCTCCCTCCTTATAAAAACCTCTGCCTACACTGAGTTGTTAAGATGGCTTTGGAACATGAGTCGCCCATCTTCTCTCATTGCTGGTATCTGAATAAACTGCTTTCCTTTTCATCAGCACCCATCTCATGAGTTTGGCTTTCACCGTAGTAGGCAGTTGGACCTGCGTTTGGTTGTAGCTTTGGTATTAGGTAATGCTGGTCTCATAGAATGTGTTAGGAAGTATTCCCTCTGCTTTTATCCTCTAAGAGAGATTGTAAGTTTCTTCCATAAATGTTCAGTAGAATTCACTAGTGAGCCTATCTGGCCCTGGTTTTGGAAGGTTACTAATTATTGATTCAATTTCTTTAATAGATAGAGGCCTATTTAGATCATCTGATTCCTTTTGATTGAGTTTGTCCTATTGAGTTTTTCTTGGAGTATGTCCATTTAATCTAAGTTTTCAAATGTATGGGCATAGAGTTGTTCACAATACTCATTGATTATCCTTTTAATGTCCATGGAACCTGTAGTGATGCCCTCTCCTTCATCTGATATTAGTAATTTGTGTCTTCTTTTTATTTTTTCCTTAGTTTGGCTAGAGAGTTGTAGATTTTATTGATTTTTTCAAAGAACTAGATTTTGGCTTCATCAATTGTCTCTACTCATTTCTTGTGTTTAATTTTATTGATTTCTGCTCTAATTCTTAGTACTTCTTTTCTTCTGCTCCTTCTAAAAATTTTCCTGAGGTGGAAACTTAGATTTTCAAATTGCTATAATTTGAAATCTTTCAATGCTATAAATGATTTCAATTATATCTCCTTGACTAATGGTATTACTGAATTTAACTATATCCTTATGTCTGCTGGTCTGTCCATTTCTGAGAGAGGGGTGTGAAGTCTCCAACAGTGATAATGGATTCATCTATTTCTTCTTGCAATTCTATCAGTTTTTGTTTCATATAGTTTGCTGCCCTGTTGTTAGGCCTATACACATTAAGAATTGTGATGTCTTCTTGGAAATTTGACCCCTTTATCATTTTATAATGACCTTATCTCTATAACTCTTTGACATTTGTTCTGGTCTGAAATTAGTGTAGCCACTCTTGCTTTCTTCTGATTAATGGTAGCATGGTATATATTTTTTTCCATCCATTTACTTTTAATCTATATGTATCTGTATTTAAAGTGGGATTCTATGTTTTGAATTTTTATTAAAGTTTTTTTTGAGCCAAACTGATACCAGGGAGCAAGATCTCAAATGCTCCTGAGGATAACAGTTTTGCAGCTTCTTTTATGCATTGGAAATTGAGGAGAGGATATAAGAAAGATTAGGGTGGGAGAAAGCAAGGTGGGATTAGAATAAGGTTGTTTGCTCTCTTGAAGGTGGTTACATTTTAGAAGGATGAATCTGAGTAGGTGGTTCACACATGAGAAAGAGGGGTCTGAAGGAGACATTTCACAGGTGTGGTACCCTCGATGTACAGAAACAACAGACAGGGCTTGCTTAAGGCAAAGATAAACCTTTTATTAAGAGGTTATGCGCCTGAGGCACTATGATCTGCTCAGTTGGAATTTATGATCAGATCACCCTCTGAGAAACCCCCTTTTTTGTCCATAGTTTCTCTTTTTTGACAGTCTGAAGGATGCATTGATGACCAATCTTATGGTTGAATAGTGTTGTCTCACAGCAGTAGTAAGGCTCGTTAGTAGGAAGTCTCAATGTCCATGTCATATTGTTGACCACTGGGGATGGGACAATACTGTAACCATGGGATATGAGTTGAGACTAAATTTTCCTAAAAAGGGGAGAAAAGGTAAATGGAAGACAGCCAAGTCTTATGGCTTTCATTGCAAAAGAAAAGAAAAGAAAACAAAACAAAAAAACCAAAACCAACTCTGGACCATTTCTGTGCTGTGAATTATTATGATCTAAGTTTTGCCTTCTGTCTCAATTTTCTGTATTTGGCATATTATTGACCATATTCTCTCTGCTGTATGTTACATCCCTGTGACTATTTTGTAACTACCGATTTCTACTTCTTAATCCCTTTATCTCTTTCACCCAGTCTCCCAGTCCCCCATCCCCTCTGGCAAGCACCAGTCCACTCTCTGTGTCTATGGGTCTATTTCAATTTTGTTTGTTCATTTGTTTTACTCTTAAGATTCCACATATAAATGAGATCAAATCGTATTTGTCTTTCTCTGACTGGCCACACAATGACAATAACATGGATTGGTTTAGGTAAACTCTCAACATGTGCCTGGTGGTGGCTAAAGTGGAGGTTTAGTGGTGGTAAAAATATTGTAACATTTTTTTTAAGTTCCATTTAGAAAGCTCTCACAGTCATTACTATTCTACTGTTCTTGCCTTATGCTGGACTTAGATTAAGGTTGGATGAACCCTGTGGTTTGCCATTTTCATAGCTGCCACCTAGGAAATGCCACCTCGGTTTTCTTTCTGAGTCACAAACAAATCTAGTATAAATTACCCCTAAATTTAGCACTCAACCTTAGGATGAGGAAGTGCAAGTCTCAGGGCCCATCCTCAAGCACGCATTTCTAAGATCTTTTGCTTTTCTTTTTACTCCCTTACCCATGAGAGCTTTCTCTAGGCAAGAAGAGAAAATGCATGGGAAAAAAATGACCTTTGATTGCACTTTCTTCTCTTTTCTTAGTGCCTGATCTTTGATGTTAGATAATGCCAGGATATTACCTCTTATTCTGTATATATTTTAGTCTTGGCTGCCTGAATGCAGATGAACAGAAATTGAGAATATGGGAAGAGATATGTGAGTGTTGCAGAATTTTCAATAGCTGTTATGAACAAAGTATCTAGTAAACAGACTGAAGAACTATTTTAATCTTGGGGTCTCAGGAATGTGAAAAAGAGCAAGGAGAAGTGACCAGCTTTAAATGTTATGGAAAATTAACATTTGGGGCTACTTTTCCAGACATTAACAGCAGCTAAAGGAAGCATGACTTGGGAAAGTTGATGAATTCAGTGTGGGGTAGGCTGAATAGCTTCATTTTATTTCTTGGTTTTTTAAAAATTCAGCTGATGCACAGACTCCTAAAATAGATAATATGTGGAAATTAGTTTCAGATAGTAATTCCTTGAAACTGTTTTAGAATATTTTTTATTTATATGAAACCTGTTGCTCTTTCTGTTGTTACCCTGGATTTCACTCAGATTTCTGGCTTGTATTGACCTTTTCATACTTCTCTTTTTGGCTTACTCTGCCTTGGTTTTCCTCTATGGTTTTCATATCTTT